TTCGCCTTCGACAAGCCGCTGCACACCGTCGCCATCGTCCTGCTGCTGACTGGCCTCGCCGTTGTCGCAATTGAAGCCTGGTCGTCGCGCAGTGCACAGCCGCAACCGCATACAAGATATATCGCCATAGCCCTAAACCAAGTGCAGAGCAGACCGGCAGCCGAAGAGATATGGACCGAGGCAGGCCAGCCAGGTCGGCGGAGAGGATGGAGCGTCCGGGCTGTCGGCGCGCTGTTGGCCGTCCTGCTGTTCGCGATATGCGGGCGCATAGCCATCTTCTACCGCGTCACCAAGGACGTCGAGTGCAGCGGCCCCTCTGCATTGGTGCGCAAACCCCTCCCATTGCACCAACAGTACTGACCGATCTAGTCATTCCTTCCCCTCGTCGCTGCCCTCTACCACAGTATTCGGCACCCCAGTCAGCGACAATACCCCGCCTGGACTGCTGACACGCGCCCGCGTACCCAGCTCGACCGCGTCTACAGCTTCATCTTCGACGGCTCCACGCGATACATCATTCCCTCGTTCCTGCTCTCCGTCAGCAGCTTCCTTGTCATCATCAAGTCCAGCTCGTTGCGCTCCAACTACATCTGTCCCACCGCAGACTCGACTGCAACCGCCATTCCTTTCCTTCAGTTCCTCGGCTTCTTGCTGGACTGCGTCATCGTCCAGATAGCATACCGTCTGATCGACGATGGCATCTCCGAGGCGGACGACTGGACCATCCACCTTCCAGATGGCACCTCGAATCACCTCTTAGTCGGCTTGACACTTACTGTACGTCAATCGCCTTCATGCACCATTACACATCTGACCCTGAACAGGCATCTTCTTTGGTCCTTCTCGTCGCCGGCATTATCATATACCCCGCAATGCCTGAGCATCGCGAATGGATGCTCTCGTTTTCGTCTGAATATCTCCTTGGTCTTTTGCGTTTATCGTTGATGATACCCTTTATGACGTTATGTTTCCTCAAATCGGTACGTCACTACATCCCGTCTGGTACTCTGTCGCTGACCTCTCAGGCTCGATTGTATGGCGTTATGAGCGCTTTGCTCCTTGGTGCATTTTCCTCTGCATACATTGGCGTTCTCCGTGCTCTGGGCACCGGCGTGTCCTATTCGTTCCCACCAAAATCCACCATCGGACTTGTTTTGTGTTTGACTCTGCTCACCATTGCGCTCATCCTCTACCTCGTCACAGACACTAGCATCGAAACCCGCATACGATCGAAAGTACCCATCCGCCTGGGCAGGAACCAATCGGCTGGATTTATCGTACTTCTCATCGCCTTCTCCATCGGTGTTGTCGTGTATCGTCGACACGGTCCCGTTCTCGAACATCCCATCACTACCTTGATCGATATCGCGACAGTCCAACACGACCGGTGGGCATCACAAGCCTACCGGAGCAAATCCCTCGCTGAGGCCGCTGTGCACTATCAGAAACGTTACAACCGCGACCCTCCGCCGAATTTCGACAAGTGGTACCACTTCGCCATTAGCCGGAACTCCATCGTGATCGATGACTATGACAACATCGAACAAGACTTGGCACCCTTCTCGTCCTTCAACGCCGATGATCTTCGCTTACGTACCGCCACTGTCTTGGCTACGCATGAGGGGGTCGGTGGGTTACGCATAAGAGACGGGAAGGTGGAGGTCTTCAACAACGTCCCCGGTACGCATCGCTGGATGATGGATGGCGCGGCGGCCATGATCCAGCAATTCTCCGAATCGCTTCCAGACATGGATCTTGCGCTGAACCTGAATGATGAGAGTCGCGTGGCTGCACCGTACGAGCGGCTGCGAGATGCGCTTGACAAACCACAGCAGTACCCCTCCCCTGATTCGTCTCGCCCAGGGAAAGACTTCAGCGCCGACCGCGCAGAGAAATGGCTAGATGTGGACCGCGTACGAACAGACCCGCATTTCTTCGTCGACGCTCGCATCAAGCATTCGTATGAGACTTTCGGTTCTGTCGCATGCCCACCCGACTCGCGCGCACGAAAAGAACGGCATTGGCAGACGAGATCCTTCTGTCACACTTGTACTCAAGGCCATTCCATGGGCGCATTCGTGGCTAATTGGAGCTTATCATCAGAGCCGTGCCATCAGCCAGATATCGCCAATCTACATGGCATGCATCTCAGTCCTGCTAGTCTCATGGGTACTCATGACATGGTTCCAATCTTCAGCCAGAGTCGTGCTCCCGGGTTTGTCGACATCAGATATCCATCGCCGTGGAATTACTTGGGCAAAAGCAAGTATGGATTCGATGAAAAGTTCCCTGATCCTCACTTCCAAGACAAAGCGGATGTCCTCTTCTGGCGCGGGACGACCACGGAAGGTGTTACTACCCATGGCACTTGGAAGGGCATGCTCCGTCAACGAATCGTACATCTCCTGAACAACGAAACATCCCGTCAACCGATCCTTCTCCCGAAACCCGATCATAGTGGCCACTTGGAGTACATGCTGAAGCGCACTAATGACATTAAGAGGTTTCTCGAAACAAAGACTGATGTTCGCCTTGTGGGTCCGATTGCGCGCTGTGCAGGCCAGGACTGCATCGATCAGACGCGCGAGTTCGGTTTCGGCGATCCCATTGACTTCAAGCAACACTGGCGCTACCGCTACCTCTTCGACGCGGATGGGGCTGGATTTTCCGGTCGCTTTCTTCCGTTCTTACAGTCCAACTCTGTGGTCTTCAAGGCTGCCCTCTTTCGTGAATGGTACGAAGGCCGCCTCACTGCCTGGAAACATTTCGTTCCTGTGGATCTTCGCTTACACGATCTCTTTTCTTCGCTTGCCTACTTTGGTGGGTATGGCGTCGAGGCGAGGAATAAGCGCATGATGGAGGGTCATATCAAGGCTGCAGAGAAGATTGCACGAGATGGCAAGGTGTGGACGGAGAAGGTGTTGAGGAAGGAGGACATGGAGGTGTATATGTTCAGGCTGTTGCTTGAGTGGGGTAGATTGACGGACGATGCGAGGACGGAGGTGGGCTTCCGTATGGAGAAAGGGAAGTCGAAGGCTCGTGAGAGAACGAGTAGTGTTGAGCGGGAGGTGGAAGAATTGTGATGTATTGGTGCAAGGCGTTTAGACCATGGCGTTTTCGTAGGATAGCATTGCATGGCGCATACTCCCATCAGAGGACAATTACCGCTTTTCTGTGTCATTCGCGAGTGGACTATGCATTCTCTGCGATGTACTGGTGATGGTGACGATCATCATCATACTCTCTCCGCTAACCAGACGTAGCTGTGCGCCCCGACAATCACCCGAAAAGCGGTCTATATAAAGTCGCGCTTCGGCACTTACGCTACTTCATTCCTTATCACTCACTTTCGCTCCGAAGTGTCCAAAAATTCTATTCAGACATATTATGTGGTTCGTTTCCTCCAAAAAAAAAAGCCAAGAGAGAGGATAATGTGCGCGGAGTGTGCGACTGTGTCTTCGCAAAACGACTCAACAAAAACCTGGACGTATTTCCACGATGATCTGCTCGGAACTTCACGCCTCAACGTACAAAACATAAAGCCGGCTTCTACTATGCTTGCGAGCTGTGGTCCTGGTTCCTACAAAAGACTTTGGGCAATGAAGATTAACAAAGACCTCGCCATAGCCAAGTGGCAGCGTACAAAAGAACATAATGTACTATCATGCCTCTCTCGTTCTCCATCCTCTTTTTGCGCATGCGACCATCGAAAAACCACCGTTGATCTGGACATGATGCGAGTGGGAGCAACCCCTCCTGCAACAAAAGAACGACTGATTGATTTTATGTGTCCTGCTCCTTGCGCGCTCCTTTCCCAAGACACTACCTACGTCTGCAATGTGCTGCTCGGTCTTCTGCTTCCTCAATCTTCTCTACAAAGCACAAAAACTTTTCAAAAAGATCAAGCATCTGTTGCATGTCGGTGTGTGCTTCCGCAGGGCTTGATGCGCACTGCTCGGGCTTAGCATACCTTAGGACGAGGGTATATATAAACCTCCCGCTGGAGACTGAAATGCTCCTTTATATCCCACACCTCCCAGAGAGTATACAAAACTTGATGAGACTCAGGGCATGTCCTGCTGCGGCGTCTTCCGAGTTTTCCAAAATGGACATCTGTTGACCCGATGTGTGCTGTTCCTCCTCTTTCCTCCGAAAAATTCTATTCCGATTCTAAGATGTTCTGTGCGTCCAAGAACAGTCTACTGGCTGCGCAAGATATAAAGTACTACTCCTTTACTCTTATGCTTCGCTCATCGAAAATTCCCATTCTTTATCACAGAAACTATAAATGACATGTCAAATGGCTGCCTCCTCCTCTTTTTCCAAAATTGCACTCAACCCAAATATGTGCCTTTGCCTGGGCTTGTGGAGGTTTCAAATTATTGGGAGTGCTGCATACATCCTGCATATGTTCCTTCCAAAACAAAAAGGTTCACGTCACCTTGACATGGAGAGGCAGTAAGCTGTGGTGTGTGTTATCCAAAACCTGGCTGGAGCGACGTATGACTGAGACGTCTGTGCTTCCGGTGGTATATAAAGCAGCCTGTCCTTCCTGAACATTAAGCACACTCATAAGATGTGCGCTCTTTGCGAACTTTCTAAAATCATATTCACACAAGACTATGTGTCGACTCTCCTTTCCAACAAAACAATATGCCGACCGAGTTATGGGATGGCTCTCTTACGCACATCATTCCAATATACTTTTTCATCCAGTCAGCGCTTCCGAAAACGATAGCAGTCAATAACCATGTCTCTTTCGCTCAAATGGATCTGGTCCGCGGAACTCGCGTCCCAGTACTCAATAGCGCTGAACTCATGTTTGCTGTGCATCCTGGCGTCTTGGAAGCTGCCCAGAGCATAAATCTGTTCATCAAAAACACATCATGGGTGTTCTCTTCCACTTCCGCTACATCTCCTTGACGTTTAGCGCACCCAGTAGAAGTGATGTTCTGCTCGTTACAGAACGGCGTACGGATATACCTGACGTCTCTGTTCAATCACGCCGCTTCCTCCAAATCAACATTGACATCAACCCCATGTTTTCCGAGCAGCAGTAGCATAGACTCCAGCCCATCCTTTTTCGCTCGCCGTACGCACTCCTCTGCTATCCCAGGAGAATGCAAATCCGCTCCTCGTTCGAGAAGGAACTCAAACAGTGATGTATGTTCTGCGGCGATTGCTCCGGCGAGAGGGCTGTCCTTGCCAATGCTTTCGTTTATGTCTACGCCGGCGTCAACAAGTAGCCGGACTACGTCCAGATAAGGCCCTCTTTCTATGTTCGCCAGAAGCTTAGTGTGTGGTTTGTAGTATCTTCCGGCATCGACAAGTGCCTCGCTGGGCTTGACTCCGCGATCCAGCAGCATTTGCACGAGCTTCCCGTGACCGCGGCGTACGGCACCTTCGAGAGTGATGTTCGGATTCGCACCATTGTTTAAGAGAAGCTGGACAATAGCTGCGTGGCCGCGTTCGCTAGCGTACTTGACGGCTATATGGAGGATGCCGGTTCGATCTCCATTGGCGTACTCACCGATGCGTAGGAGGTGCGACACTATGCCTAGGTAGCCGATTCTTGCACAGTTGTGGAGTTTGCTATCAACAATATCACTGGATGCCGGTGATATTCCTTCAGCAATGCGCATAGCCTCGACGAAATCCCAGACCTCAGGATTGTGACCGCCGTCAAGAATGTTTTCTAGTGGTCTTCTGTTCCCCTCTGCATCACACTCAAAATTCCATGGCCATTCTGCGCTTCGAAAGTTGTACAGGAAGCGAACAATATTCATCCGACCGGCTTTCGTCGCGAACCTGAAAAACCTGGAACGCATCTTCGGAATGACTTCTGGAGTTCCGCTCGTCATCAAATACTCCAGTAGTTCCTCGTTGCCATATGTTCCAGCCAGATCATTGTATTCTCCAAAAAGACAACTTGTGGTGGGGCCGGGAAGGTCGGAAAGCATTGTGTCTCTCAAAGTAGCAGACCGCCGGATGTATGAGAGCCTATTGGTACACAGCGCAGCACCAAAGCATTGTTTGTCGTACTCCTCCGAATCCCAATTGCATGCAGAATTGAATCCCGTCTTCCAGTGGTGTCCAAGGGGTTTTGAGCGCCGTTTCGTTGCGCATAGAATATGGACCACGTCCTCGATGGTGCCTCCATCAGTTTCGCCAATGGCGCCCAAAGATAACATCTGGAGTGCCACCTTTCGGACTTCGTTCAAGAACCGATTACCATATGAAGGTTCGTGCAGTACCCTATACTCAGCATATGATTGAAAGAAGCGTATCTCCTCAAAATTCCGGATAACAGGTTCGTTGAAGACCAATTCGTCAAGGAGGCGAAAGCTATAGAGTACACGCATGATTTCTCGCGCGAAGTGATCTGGCAACTGTCAGTGTGAGTTACCAAAAATGATATGGTTTTACGTACGATTTATCAGCCGCAAGCGCAAACCTCGTTTCAGTCCACGGGCATTGATGGCAAAATGTAGGATGGTATCGAAGAGCTCTCCCGGCAGCTCTAATAGCTTCATGGCGCTGTTCGACCCCGTTCTTCTTTTCCAAACTATTAGACACTCACTGGGGACTGGACATGGAGCAGGAGTCGGCAGATTGTAGAACAAGTCACATGCGCTGATATGCTTAGATAGGCGCTTGCACACTTCGCCAATGTGGCACGGAGACCGTGTGGCACAGACACCAACATACCGGGTGCTGACCTTCCGAACGATGAGCCAGTAGCAACTACGTCTAGTTTCGCGATCGCAAAGATAATCAATGCGATGGGGCGATGTAGACGTGGCAAGGTAATCTGGCAGAGCGCTAGCCCCTCAATCGCCCAGTCAGGCTAGCTCAAGGTTAGAGCGCTCAAGCCTGCCAGCAAATGGGTCGCAGCCGATGGAATCAGAACCCACTTCATCCACTCTCCATGTTCGATGTTTTGCAATGAGCTCGCGACAGTGATCCAACCATTGGTAGATCCCTTTTCATGGCATAGTATTGTCAATAGGAACCACACTGGCGGGCGCAAAAGCTCAGAGACCTGCCCAAGTCAACGGGTTGACCAGAATCTCGACATTGGCTAGTCTGCATACCGGTAACGATACAGTATATTTTGAAGGCTGCCGTACAACTATAGAATATAAAGAGTTCCGCTTCTACGGAAACAGAACGAAGGCGTAAAATAAAACCAAAACAACCGGACATCAAAACGAGCGACAATAGCAAAGAGGCACGATATCAAACGAACCAGATCTGCTAACCGATCCAGAGCCGAATCTGGCAATTATTCGACAAGACCGAGCGCAAAAGCCATCGTCATGTATGGACTGAACCATACATGCACAACGTCTTAGTTCTCCTTCGGTATGCCAACCTCGGGCTGCTTCTCCCATATCTCACCGGGTCTCTCCAGGCGGTCATACTCGTTTGCTGGAGTACCAATCGGTTCGTCTCCTCGTGTCCAGATCTGTGTCTCAGGACCATAGTGGATAAACTTCGTCGGGTCGCCGTCGTTGTTATCCATGTCTTTGACGAAAGGGACGACTCTGACACTGTCGACATTGGGATTGCGAGTGAGCTCTGGAAGCTCATATGTCCACCAGTTCGAGCCTTTGTCGGGGTAGGGTTGGTTCACGCCTCGACCTGCGGGAATCGCAACGTAGATATGTCCTTGAACTGCTTGACCTAAAGCCTTCGAGTTTACAGCCCAGTAATAGTGCTCAGCACCACTTGCCTGCTCGTCATTGTATTTCTCCCACTCTTTTAGTTTGCTAGGTTCATCCCATATACTTCTGCCATCCATGGGCAAAACATCGTTCATAGATCGCATGCTGCCTTGTGCCCCGACATGGCTTTGAAGTGCGGTCTTGTATTCTCCATTGAGATTCATGTCATCGAGGCCACTGAAGAAGAACCATGGCTGGTCGTTCAGGTTGTGGGTGGCTATTATTGTCTGGAAGCTGTTCCTGCGATCTGTAACAGAGATGGCGTTAACGTTGCCTGGGAGACGGATTGGAGGACCGTTGCTTGTTGCCGGTTGATTGTGGTTGTTCCTTGCTGAAGGCGGGTACTGAGCAGCGTTTGGCTGACCAGGATTGTTACCTGCGGGTGCGTTCGGGACTGGGTTAGGACCTGGAGCCGGGTTAGGGTTCGGAGCTGGATTGGGACCTGGAGCCGGGTTAGGGTTTGGAGCGGGATTAGGATTTGGAGCCGGGTTGGGGTTCGGGGCTGTATCTGGGTTTACTGATTGAGCGTCTGGGTCGGGGGCTGTTGGTTGCGAACTAGAGCCTTCCCCGTTGTCGTTCAAACCTCCCTCGGTTTCCTGCGAATCGGAAAAGCCACCCGAGGTCTCCTGCTGCTCACTGAACCCCCCAGACTCACCCTGCTGATCGCCGGCGTCAGAGGGAGTGTTTTGCTGATCTGGGTTTGTATGAGGTGTGTTTGGACTGTTGTCGTTGGGTCTGTCTGGGCGTCCTCCGCCACTGGCTCTGCGGTCGAGTGCGGGCGGGAGAGCATCAGTACGGGTAAGACGAGGCCAATTCGTGTTGTTGAATGGGTGGCTACAATCGACTTCGTTCTGGCATGGAGCGATCGGTATGATTGGTTTGCCGCTACTTTGGAGGATGTATGCGGACAACAATCCAAGAGCAATTGACTTTGGCACCGAGTGACGCATGTTGATGGTGTTGTCGAGTGGCGATGGTGTATTGATACGAAGATGTAATGTGCAGAATGATCTTAATAGTAGAGTTTGGGTAAAGAAGGGAGTAGATCACTGTTGTGCTGGACGTCGGGTCAGGAGTCGTGGCTCTTATGTCTTCCTCCGTCGTTTCTCTGCGTGTCTCGTCCCGCCGAACTTTCCTGGGGTCACATTCGAATCAGACAACAGATTTGTACATCTAGCCTCATGCCAGATTTCGCATCTCAATGCTACGTCATAAGCTCTCGTTATCAAAGGCCGTTTTTGGGTTCTTTGTCCATCTGCTGCGGACGGCCCGTGGCGAAGTTCGGCAGTGTCACTATGTGGAACACGATCGGCGTGCTGGATGTCACGTATGCTCTTCGAAGAGGTGGGAATATCTCTAGATGAAACTTAACAGTAGCTTAAGTCGCCTCCGGGTCTTGCGGGGGCGGCTTGTGAGTGACGATGGTCGCCACGCCGCAAGTCCAGACGCCGCACGTTGAGGCGGCGCAGAGCCATTACCACACCAATGTGATGACATACGGCGCCATGTTCAATTAATCCATGTCACAGAAGGGGGCCATGATCGTTTTCATCGCATCGTAATGGAGTTGGGGCTGCGGCATAGAAAGGAGATCGAGTGCTCAGTGTCGCGACTCGGGGCCGACACAATTGCCGACACCACAGATGCAGTGAGATGACGCAGAAACAAGGACACATAAGGAGCAATTGAGAGTACAGTGATGGCATCCTGCATCTCAAGCTCACGAAAGTCGAACGAGCATGACGCGTGCAGTGTAGGTGACACCATCATCATGGGAATGGGGTCCAGAGGGTCTTGCATTAGGACACGAGAGGCCAAAGGGACACGTCGCGATCTCTTGTGTGGAGAATGCATGTTATATGTCCTCTTACAATCAGATATAAGAAGCGAGCAAAGCGACAGTGGATGAGAGCATCAACATCAGTTATCGCTACAATCTTCAACTACTATCAAATATCCCACACGCTCTTCAACATTCTTATCCTAGTAACCACATCTTGTACTATCGAATGCCCTCCTATTCAAAGTTCCATACTTGTACACCTTATCACCTCTCGCCATGTCAGGTTTCTTCGCCGAGCTCGGTCTTAGTGTAGCTTTCACCATGATCAGTCTTGCTCCCATGGTCCCCGAATGGCTCAACGGCAACCCCAAGCCACAAACGAAGGTCAACGTACTGGTCGGTCTGCCACCGTTGGATGCCGATGAGCAGAACAAGAAGGACGAGATCTACGAGAAGTTGAGTTACGGCGGATGCGCTCCGGAAGTGTCACTCTTCAACGCGAATGGAGACCGGGTTGGCTACAGCAAGAACAAGAAATGCAAGCAGGTCATTAGCCAGAACAGTCCAACCGACATCTGGGCCGACTACATCAAGCCAGGCGAAACAGAGAAAGCCGAGTACATCACCGTGTCCGCATCTGGAACCGATGCTATCTGCATTTCAGCTATAGCAGTCACATACCCCACGAGCAGCGACACGTACGCATTCCTCCCCGGCGAGGTAGCTGCCATATGCAACACGCACAACCCAGATTACAAGTACTCCTGGTCCCCATCCGCGACACAGATCCAGTTCAAGTCCGAATCCGGACAGACGCAAGACGGGCGACCGAAATGCCTGTGGATCGATAAGCCCGACGACGACGGAGACGCGGCGACCCACTACGAAGGATTCCAAGTTCATCTTCCAGACTTCAAGCTCGACAACACTACCTTCCATGGATGGCAAGAAGACCCCTCACAAATGTGCGACTCGCTGGCTCGTTTCGGCTCATACGACAGGCTCGACCCAATGCTCTGCCCAGAGATCTTCAGTCCAGCGCCACTTAAAGGTGCAAGTCTCCCTTTGGATACCGTCTCCGCATGTATACCGGCTGCAAAAGACAGCACGACAGACCCTCACATCTGCGAGGACGACAATTTCACGTACCAGCAACGATACGATCTCATTGTTATGTACGATCAGATGTGTCTTAACGACGATTGGTGGTATTATAAGTGTGAAGAAAGGCCTTCATGTCCGCCCGGGCCGGAAAAGCGTCGGTCGCTTCTGAGATCGCGATCTTCTTCATCCTACTGGCCATTCCACCATACTCCCAAATCGAAGTATCGGCGCACTTCACCCGACCATCCGCTTCAGAGGCAGTTTGATGGAGTACTAGTCAAGAGTCAAGACGTCACGCAAAGTGCAGTGGAGATCTGCCAAAGCACCGGCAGTGTTGGACCTGACTTCTATTCCGAGCCCGAGCAGATGTTCTGTGATATGAAGACGCGTGAACTGTATCCAGCATGTAACGGTACTGTTCAGATGACTTGTTTCGATCCAACTCAAAACGAGACGAGAACTGAGACTGGTGACGGAGGAGTGGATAAGCGTCGCGAGCGGACAACGTATGTGGAGGTGAAGGATTGGTCGTGAGCGGGACGAGAAGATGGATGACCGCACAGGGCTGGTCCCAATGTTGATATGTCATTTACAATTGTACTTCCTCGTATCTAATACCTCATACTCCTCACCCCCTTCTTGTGACTAGGACTATCCATCCAACTTTCCTTGAACCTATCCTCTCCGTCATCGTCCTGATCCACATCTCCCAGATCTATACCAGTAACACCATCCACATCTTCACCGTCACTTCCAAACTCTTCCTGACCACCAACGCCGCCTTCAGGACTCCAAACCGGACTCGTGGCAACCTTCGGTCTTGACTTGAACACCCTGTCGTAGTCCACTTCGTCGCTAAATAACTGCTCTGTAGGTGTCCGCTCGATACTTTCGAGCTTTGCCTGTTCTAGGAGTTCAAATGATTTGCGGTTCCGCGGTGTATCGAATTGGTTGACGGGGAAGAGTGATGATCGGCTAGATTTACGCTGTTCCTTCTTTGCTGTGGCGGAGGGGCGTGGGTTGGACTGCATGGCTTCCATGGTGAGCCGTGTTCGTTCAGCCAGTGTTGCGCGTCGGTCGCCGTCTTCATCTCCAGTAATAGAAGGAATAGGCGGTGGTCCCATAGATGGCAGCGGGAGATCAGGTGACTCTGGAACAGGTTCGAAAGAGTTTGTCCGTGCCATTGTCATGCGTGTGCGTTCAATGAGTGAGAGGGACATGCGTGGTTGAGGCTTCTTCACTGGAGATGGTGTCGCATTACCGATGGAGTTGATAATTTGGTCGGCAAGTGCTTCTTCAGCATCGAGTTCTGGGGGATCGAAAGTTGGGATTGGCGGTTCAGAGGGGTATTCTGGTGATGGCTCAAGCAGCTTTTCAGGAGAGAGATCCGTTTTTTGCTCTGAGTAATTAGTAAGTGTTTTGGCAGCTTCGGACGGTGAGTTGTCGAAGACTGGCTCGGAAACAGCAGGCCTAGTCTCCGGTACTGGTGTGCGCTCGTTATCAGTCTCCGTCGGCGACGCGTCATGCTGGGTTGTAGCCCTACTCGACGCAGATGATTGACCAATTAGTGTGGCATCTGAGTCGATTGGTGTGGCAGTTGTCGGAACGTGCCGAGATGGTCTGGGTAGGACCGGGACATGTTCTAACGAGTTTGGTCTTGATGGTGACTGTAATTTGACAGGCTTAGCTGGAATCACTGGTGCTTTGCGTATCGTCTCCGTCTGAGTAGATTTCCTTGTGAGAAGTGGTGGGCGAGCAGTCTTTGCCGTCGAGGTACTTCTATGATGTATAATTGTAGATGCAGTACTAGCCCTGACTTTGGCGGCTCGCGCCAGCTCACTGTCCATATCAGACAGGATGTCTTGAAACTCTGTTCGCATAGTCGGCCGCTTTACACTCGCAGATTCTGCTGTGTGCTTCGCCGACGGCAATTGATATTGCGAGTGGTCATCGAAGTGGAACTCCTTTGCTGGCGCCGTAGTCTGTCCGCTTCCTGATGTTTCCTTCCCTGACTCGTCGCTTTGTAGCTCAGCATGGAAAGCCTTCCACTTTTGTAACCTCTCCTGCTGTTCTTGCACCCTCGCTTGCAGGTTTTCCAGTAATCCAGTCTCAGGCGCGACGTCTTCTAGTTTTCTGCCTTTTTCTACCATATGCAAGACCTTGTCGAAACGGCTGTTTAGGAAGGCATCGTCCGCCTGCACGTTCTCGCCGCGTAGCATTACGTCGAGCCACTGTTGGTTGCCAACCCAGTTGTCCTTGAGCTGTTTCTTGATGGCATTGGCTTCTTTCGGGGGTATCGCTGGCTTTTGCGCTCGAGGGGTATCTTTGCATTTGCGTATGCGACCCCGGATATCTGCTGCCTTTTTGTCCAGAAGACCATGGAACTCCATGTACTTAAGCCTCTTCTCTTCTTTCTGTCTCAGCACGTTGACGAGCGCTGCCTTGTGTGCGATAGCTAGGGGTAGTAACGACCGTTGCTGTTCGACTGAGAGTGTTGACGCTGTCGCCAGTTTTCTTGCGACAACGGCATCTCTATCACCTCCGTCTTGCGCTGCAAGAACCTTTTTGAGTACGACATTCGAAAATATAGCCAATATCTCGTAGAACTTCTCGCCCTTGCACTCGTCAAGCATTGTTTTCCTAAGAACTGATTCTCTTCCCAAAACACCGTTCTTCTTCAACTCGTTCAGACATCGGTATAGCGCAGCGCGGAGGTTTAACGATTGGAGTGGTTCGAGTGGCGGGAAGAAGGGTTGGAGTTTCTGTAGCTAAGTCAGACATATATCCGCGTGAGGTTTCATCCCAGCATACCTGTGCTGTCTCATTGGGATCCCATATTTCGAATAGTCGAAATAGTGCCCATTCAGCCCCGCCAATTCTCTGTCGCTGGTCTGCATTTTTTGCCGAGAAAGTTTGTATCGTGATTTCAGGCCAATCCGGTCGCAAATCCAAATCCAACAATCGCAAATTGGTTACGAAAAGGCGGATATCGGGTGCTGCTATTGGGTTCACTGCTTGAGGTTTGGGAATTGTCTTGACCGACGCGGTGCGCGCATGGCCGCTCATGGTAGTCGCGGTGGCCGTAGAGGCGGTTGAGGGCGGTCGAGACATGTTCGCGACCGCAGAGCATACATTCGCGCGGCGACCCTGGTCAGAGTCCCTGAGACTTGAGGTGCATGCGTGGTGTTGCGGTGTGACGGGACCCTTGCGTTGTTTGCCAAGGCGGGTGTTATCGATAGGTCCGTTCGCGCCTTCTGTTCCCTGTCTGACTTTCGTCACTTGTCCCGCCATTCTTCACTCGCCAAACAGTCACCGTTTATAAGACAATCACGCACCCCTCTGGGTCTCTATAAACCTCCGACCCCGAGCCCATTCGAGACACCAAGCAACCATGACAATCGACGAAGCAACCCAGGTCAACGGCGTGCCCGACCCTAACGCCGGTGTACTTGACGCGAAGAAAGCAGAACAGAAGAAGTGGACAGTTGAGAGTGGTATGTCATGAACAAGCAATAGCTCGTCCGTATGCGACACCTCTCTTACCCCTCATATTTCTCATCAACATAGCGCTAACCTACCCCAAAGTCCTTTCAGAGAACGCACTTAAGTACGCCGAAAATACCGACTCACCGCTCCCCTTCTTCCACCTCCTCGAGCGCCTAAAGACGACCAAGCGTGCAGGATGGCAGCGTTTCGAAATTGGCGATGGCGAGTCCATATCCGACCACATGTACCGCATGAGCATCCTCACCATGATGGCGCCTGCCTCGATAAGCTCGAAGCTCGATATCGCGCGATGCTGTCGCATGGCTGTTGTCCACGACATGGCTGAGGCGCTTGTCGGCGACATCACACCTGTAGACGGAATTTCCAAGGAGGAGAAGAGCAGGAGAGAGACCGAGACTATGGACTACATCTGCACAAACCTGCTGGGCAAGTTCAACGGTGGACTCAACGGCCAGGACATCAGGGCGTTATGGCAGGAATACGAGGACAGCAAGACGGCTGAGTCGCACTTTGTGCATGACATTGACAAGATTGAGCTTCTCGTTCAGATGGTCGAATACGAGCGCACGTCCAAGTGCGAGAATGATCTTGGGGAATTCCAGTGGGTCGCAGATGTTATCAAGAGCGAGGAAGTCAAGGCATGGGCGCAACAGATCATCCGTGAGAGGGAGCAGTTGTGGAACGATCACGGCAAGATAGCGAAGCCTGCTAGTGCGTACAAGAAGTCTTGAGGGGCAACGGCGCATGGTGCCGAGCGCACTCGCATTACGATAGACGGGCTCCTTCACTGGCGCATTTCATGAGGTACGACGATCTAGTAGACGGTAATTGCATGTCTAGAATTCATCTTCTCGTATGTAAACTTCATTTCTCTCTCAGTCGTGATGATTAATCCTCTTCGCCTGTCTCAAGAGGCCTTTCAACCTGACATCAACAACAACTCTAGCACTTAAGAATTCGACAAGCTAATCAATCTCCTCTTCTTCACCTCCCTACTCGGCGTCCCCGCGAGCCTAGGCATACCTCCAGCCACTCCGTTATCCCCAAAACCATAATCATGCAGGCTATATCCACTACTCCCACTCGCGCTATTCCAGACCCCCTTCGCCCCCAACCCCCCATACTCTCCCTTCCTAATCTCATTACCAGACCTGCGTCCATGCCAGTAACACAAGTCCGCGCTGGGCCCCCTATACTTCGGATGCAGAGGGCACAGCGGACTGTTAGGAAGGTGTTCAGGGACGAGCCATTCAAACTTGCGTCGCTCTTCTTCTTCTTGGCGGGCGAGCGCTGCGAGAGTGCGTTCGTCGGGGGTGTCGGGGTAGTGCGATTGGTGAATGCGGGACCAGACGTCGTGGCCCAGCATGGGGGATGTGGCGGCTAGGGAGGGACTGGCTGGTGGTTTTACGCCGAGGTAACCTGCTGCGTTGCCGATTTCGTTGCTTGTGCTTGCCGTGAGGGTGCTGCTCGGGCCAAAGTCAACGGGTGGGTTGATGAAGTCGCTGCGGGGGCCGGAGGGGCCTTCGTCTTCTGCTTCGTCTGAGGGGTCGTCGATGTCGTTTGCTAGGCTCATGAGTAGGGCATCGGAATCCCAGTAGCCGCCTGGACTGGACTTGGGCTTGTTGCGTGTGTTGATTGCGCTGCCACCGCCGTGGACGTCGAAGAAGAAGTCTGCTAGCTTGCCTTTGACTTCGCCGTTTGAGTCGAACATTGGTGGGGTTGGTACGCGCTGGAGGCCGGGTGGGATGAAGGCTGGCGGAGCATGCATCTGTGCGAGAGACTTTACTGGATGTACCTGTTTGCCCCGAGCCGGGAAGAAGGAAAATGGAGTTTGTTGTTTGGTAGTCTCTGTGCCGTTTTGGTCGGAGATGCGGTTTGAGCGTCGGAAGGGATTGAAAGAGAAGCGGCGGTTGAGAAATTGCGCTGGTCCAGGAGAGGGAGGTGCATCGTCACTCGATTTGTGCAGCCATAACCAGCGGCGCGAACGTGTCGCCTTGGATTCGCTCGCTATTTGCTGCAACTCTGCC